AGGGCTCACCTTCACCAGCTGAGCAGTGATGTGAGTCCTACATCCCTTGTGAAAGATAAAACCAGTGTCGGGGTCAGCGGGACAGCACCTTCAGCAGGGTATGTTGGTGTGCCCTGGGCTGTGCGGGGGACACAGCCCCTTCCCCTGGGCACCTTCAGCAGGGTGCGATGGTGTGCCCTGGGCTATGCAGGGGACACAGCCCTTCCCCTTCTGGAGGCCTGTACACAGTTTGCCTGCAGTGAATCCAGAGAGCCCTGGAAGTGTCCTACCTGTGCACAGACTGTCAGCACCCGGCACACACTGCACAGCCAGGACTGGGGTTTGATCCCTTCCCTGAGCCATCTTCTATTAACCTGTGCATCAACATTACACTAATGCCTTAAATTACAGACAGGCTGTGTGGTTAGCCACTGAAGAGAGAATGAGTATCTTTAGGACTTTCTGATTCTTGCTTCACATTTCCAGAAGCGATATGGAACACCTTAAATCCCGAAGAAATGTCCAGTCTCTACGTGCTTTGGATAGAAAAAAAGGGACCTGTTTTTGAAATCCAGACATATGGCTGTGCCAGGAAAGGTGCTCTGTTTTGTAAGAGTGACAAGTGGGGGTAAGCAATGTTACTTCTAGCCCTTTTGGGGCTGCTTAAATCCCAGGGACTAGAAGTAACGTAGCAACAGTCTCAGATGACTACCTTTCCTTCCATGTTTTCATTGGATGAAATGAAGAACAGAAAATTTTGAATGTTTGTCCAAGTCAGCTGTGACTTTGGATGAAAATCAAACCAACTTGTCTCCACTTAAATCTCAAATAAAAACTCTATAATCTAATAAATTGTTTAGATGTGTAAAAAAACCACACTTTTAAATTAAGTAGTACTTAAATTATTTATTGTATTATTCTCTATTGTCTAATCCAACTAAATTCACATTTGAGATTAAATTATGGCTGGCTCATATTACTGGTATGAAACATCTCAGTGCTGTTGCTTTGAACCTGCGGTACACATCCTCTGTGTACAAATCTGCAAGGAATTAAGTTACATGCATTTCTCAGTTCAGTTGGCAGATCCATGAGACTTTGGTGAGGACAAAAAATAAAATATGTGAATCCAGATTCAGCAAGATTTGCTTTGATATTACTATCATTTTATGGACTAGGCTAACTGCACTGTTTTCTTGAACTACAGCCATGCCCTAAGCATTCATCTCTGACAACAGCAAAACACACTGATTCACAAAATCTGTCTAGATTAGATTTAGGCTGACAAAAGACAAATACATTAAACTTGTATAATACTTATTATATTATAATCCTTTGAGCAGATTGATGCATCCCTGCTAATAAAGTTACAGTCACCACTTTTCCACTTTTCCCAGCATTCTCATTTCTTTTCAGTGTAATTGATCCTTTAGGATTTTTAAGCCTGGCCTCAGAACCACTTGTGTTTGAACTCTGGAGAGCATTATGCTGAAGAAAACCATAAAAACATATTTAAATGCGATTATGCGGCAAGAAGCAGTACTCAGAAAAGGTGCAACGGGGGATTATGTATTTATTATCAGCTGCGGTTCACATCTGCCCTATTCACAGAAAAGAGAGAGCAGAAGACGTTATTTCTAACTGCTACTTTTCCAAAATCAACCTGAGACTTCACTTGATCTGTTTTTGCATTACTGAAAGTTACTGTAAATTGCAGCTTGGTAATTCTAGTGATATGTGGATCAGCAGCTTCAATAAACCCTTCAACTGCCTTATCTGCCAGGGATGCAAATAACAGTAATTGTTGAACAATATTTCCTAAATTTCACTTTACTTTTGACTTTGCCAAGTGGTTATAAAATAGCCTGCTATTTGAATAATCATTTTTTTAAAAAAGACAACAACTATGTGGTGAGGATTTAAGCCCCAGATGAAAAAAAAGAGGAGCCAATAAACTGGCACGTCAGCCTAAGTGACAGGCAGAAATGGAAGACGCCTTGCATACAGATTAATTGTAATGTGTTGGAGCTGGGATGCACCAACTAGAACAGTAACACAAGAGTGTTGTCCATGTCCATGGGATTTAGGGTGATTGAAGTTATCAGCCTTTTACATTGGTGGGCAAGTCATAATACAGAACAAAGAAAGGGTTGCTGTACACCAAAGACTGTCAGGTTTGGATTTCAATGAGTGAATACTTTGCTCCTTCTGCATGGTCAGTGACAAGCCAGCCCTGCTCACAGTGGCCAGAGTCCCCTGTTCTCTCCAGCCCCTCTGGCCCTGCTGCTCTGCGCCACTGTGTCCGCAACCAGCACTGCCGGCATGGGGGAAGGAGGCTGCAGCTCTGGCTGTGAGGGATAGGGAAGAGCTGGGGTCCAGCAGTGGAAGAAGAAGGTGGAAGAGGATCTATCAAAGACAGCAACAATTAGATTTGCTCCAGAAATTGTTAAGAATGGCTGCGCTGTCGTCTTTAAAAAAAATGAATCCTGCGGGTTTGAACGTTGACAGCATTCCACAGCCTCAACAAACTGATCTAGCAGCAGGTTGTTCCCATTTTCAAAAACATGTACCTTTGCAAAACACACATGGAGAGAGAGAGAAAGAGAGAGAGAGAGAGTGAGAGAGAGATTGAAAGCCAACAGGTCCAGGCTCCCTGAGGGATAGATGCAGCATGACGGGAGCTCATTTTGTTGAGACAGAAATGTTAATCCTTTAAAAATCTCAGCACACCTTTCTCTTATCCAAGAACATGCTTTCTTCTGGGGAGTTCAGAAATAATACTTAAGAGATAGAAGACTACTGGGGCCTAGACACACCAAATCACCTATGATGTGCATTGCTTTGTTTCTTGTTCTCCAGGTTTCCCACCTCTCTGGGATTGGTTCTGTGTATACAGCATGCAAGTACTGCTTAAAATGGTGTCGCAATTGTGAAGCACTTGAGAAGATACAAAGATAACATTTTATCATTGCTCAAATTCCACCTTGCACATTGCCTCAAAAAAAAATACTTTGATGAAAAAAATCAATTTGCCCATAAAACAAGTAAGGGGATTCTGTATAACTCTACAGACTACAGACTACTATCGATGACACTTTAAACTCCTGATTTAATCAGCTTTTCAGTGTCAGTTTTTATTTCTATAATAATATCACAACTGAAATGAAAATTCAAGAAGCAGAAAACAGCTACACATGTTTGATGTCACATGTGAAAGCCTTAGATATTTAGCCACTTCTTCGATGCTTTCATCTCTAAAGAAATCTTACTAAAATTACGATCAAAGGAATTTATATTATTGCAAGTACTTAAGAATGAAGCATCTTAGGGCAATAATCAGTATTCCGTTTAATCCATCACCCTTGGAATCCATTATTGCTAAGCACCTCAATCTGATGGGAGTTATATTTACTTAAGGATGATATTCTCCTGAAACAGAAGTACCAGGAAGCAACACTTCCAACTTACAAAAAGAGCCAAGAAATGGATTTTATTCTTCTGGCTAAAAAGTGCTCTTTGAAGCCGTTTTTTAAATGTACATAACTTAGGAAAATTGGTATGCAGACCATTATGAGACTATGCAGAGTTTTATTTTTCTACAGCAAAGAAATAGAATTTCCAATACACGGCTACTTTTAATTTAATCTATTTCTAACTATTTCCTACTGTCAGTGTTTATAGAAGACTATTACACAGATGGATATATCTAATATTTATAAAGTAAATTAACACTCTACTTTATAACATGCAAAAGCAGATAAATAATGAATTATCCTTTTCATCAATCTGACCACATAATGCCTATTTCACTGTAATATTAAGTACCACACCAGACTGGTAGTTGTAATCCCCCATGGTGAGTTAAATCAGTTTAATACAAAGAATTCCTAAACTGCAGCCTATAGAACAGGAAAAGAACATGAGAGCCAAGCAAGATATAAAAAAAACATTAATTACTGGTTAGATTATGGATTTACTGATGATTTATTGATGAGAAGTAGAGTTGTACTTTTGCAGGAGCAAGTAAGAGATGAAACCATGACTCCCAGTCACAGCCACAGTCTTCATAACCTCCCACATCCTGACTAAGCAACTCCTCCTCCTGTTTCACCTGCACAGATTATTTTTCTTCCTGCACACCCCACTCACAAAGGTGGACTTTGATTTTGCAGTGGTTTCCTACTATTTATATCCCCATGCTCCATCACTCTTTAATGGTGAAAGATTACAAGCAGACTAATGTGCAAACACCTCTGCCTGAGAATGCACTGCTGTAAGCATTCTTCCAAGCTGACAAGAAAACATGCCTGCTCTAAATGAAAATCAATCTCTGTTAAATCTGTTAGCTCCAGCTCATTTGGGCTGGCACTGCTGTAAGAGCTCACAAAGAGGTGTGCTGAGGCAGGAGTATCACACATTCAGCTTTGAAAGATGGCAGATGCACCAGGAATGCAAGTGCATCTGAGAGATTCAAACAGATGACAGAGGCAGACGTGGGTTAATCATGTTTCTGACAAACCCACTGGTAGGTTATCTTTCCTTTGGGTTGAGGGAAAGGCCTGTCAAAGAAATGCTTTCAAAGGCACAAGGTTAATTCATGCTGGAGCACCTTCTGTCCTGACTTCAGCATTCTGTACAGTCGGCTGTCACACCCTTATAGATTCATTTTGGTTTTGTTCTCTTTTCATCTACACCACTGGAAAGCAGGAAGCTGCACAAACAAGGAGATGGTCCTCCAACTCAGGAATATCACACGACTCCTAAAGGCACCCACATGACCTGTCCGTAGTCACAATTCATGTGAACCATGGGGCATGGGAGTTCCTCTGTGCCCCTGCCACTGTGGACTCCAGTTCATAACCCAGGTGGCACAACAGAATCTTCTGCTGCCTTTAGTACAAGCCCACTCCATGGCTATTTCAGACCTAGGATCCCGGGAAACGTAAATGATGAGCTGTACCATGTAGTAATTTTACCTGCAGCTGTGTGATAAAATGCTTTTATCTTGGAAAATTACTTACATGATTAAAGTGCTGAAGTTTGTCAATTAAATTACTGATGAGTGGGTCCAATCCTCTGACTTTCAGTTCTGGATTATTAATTTGTGCCTTCAGTCCATTGGAAACAACTCTACTGGTATAACTGTAAAACAGAAAAAAAATAAAACATTGGTAACTGGAACCATGTCCATTGGAATCAAAAATCTTATTAAACAGGGCTTACAAAAAACAAATATTTTGTAAATGGGAACAAAAATTTGTAATAAAATATTTATGTTTTTAAATATTCCAGCCAGAATAAAAGTCATAGTTTCTTGCAGTATCATTCATCACTTCAAAAAATTCAAGTCATGAACCAACAGAAATTTCATAAGCCACACAGAGGTTCATTTCATTTCATTCATAACCAACATTCTCAAGTTCTTCCATGCAACTGATATTTTCCAAAAATTCTTTAATTATTGCAGAAACTTGGAGAATTTTGGTCAGAAATTCAACATTTTGAGAAGAAGGAAAAACCTAGCGAAACAGCAGTCTCACTTCAAAAACATTCAGACTCAAAGTGTGAGATTGGACTCCTCTTGCACCTGCTGCTCTACCAGAGCTCCTCCCTGTGCCTTGTCTGCATCAGAACTCAATAGCCCCCACACACAGGAATTGTCTTTAACCAAGTCCTGCTTTACCTGAGGAATAGCAGCTGTTGTCTAACCCACTCCTGTCACCCACAACTGTTGACTGAACAGTTTCTGACAGTCTTTTCTGGAACACACCACAGGGTATTCTCAAACCTAATTGGGATAGGGCTCCACCCATGTACTATCATGGGGAAAATTCCAGGGTTGTGCACATTTGGTCTCTACTTCTCTACATGCCTGTAAACAGTCTTTATGACTGAGACTCTAAAAGTCAGATTTCAGTTGAGGAGGTAAATTCATCAGCACATGTTTGCTGAATCCAGTGCTTCCTGGAAGTATCCAAATTCCTGCATGTCAGCTTCAGCGTTTATCCGTTTGTGTATGACTTGGGTTCAGCCCCCCCTCACAAGACTGCAAGTCCCAGAGAGCTACAGTGCAACCTTCTTCCGGCAAGTCATGCTTTGAAGGGCTGTATGAACCACTGAGTTCAGCACCTGTTTGTCACAAAGTGGATCAGGGATGTCTGCATGGCCAGTTAAGGATCAGAAAGTGACTGTTCCCAAACCAAACTCTCCCAGACTCACACACTCGCACGGGAGGATCCCAAGTTGGCATCTCTATAAGTGAGGTAGTAATTGGCTCTGCTCCCTTGGACTGAAACATCGAGAGAAACATCATGCTACATATTTCTCTTTGATCAGACCTACACACTTCGATATCCCAGATATTCTCCTATCAGTGAAACCTTCACTGTAAACCAATAGATGCTGAAGCTGAGGACAGCACTTCAAAATGGAAAAAAATGCCCAAATTCTATTAGAGAAAGACAATAGAAAGAGTTGGGGGGAGACCTAGCTCTCTGAATATATTTGTCCTATCTTAATTTCATTTAAGATGAACAACAAAGCTATGCAAACTGCTGGGAAAGCACACTGTAGTACCCTGCTGTTAAAGGTGTGACTTAGGAGGAGAAAGAACTAAGAATGGTCCACTTTCTTCAACAAATGTCACTTCTCAGGGGGAAAAAAAAAAAAAAAAAAAAAAAAAAAAAAAAAAAAAAAGAAAAAATTGTTTAGAACAAAGAATTGACAAAAAAAATCATGTTTTGCCCTAATAGTCAGATAGTTTTTAAAGGACAAACATTCAGGAAAACTTTTTTGAGTGAGTTTGTATTTTTTTGTCCATTGAGTCTTTTAAGGCAATGTTCTAATTTTTCTTGCTGTGTAACTGATCTGGAAGTATAAACTTTCATGATGCAAGGGCATGTCCAAAATAATGGCTGAGTTCAGATCTTAAAAGCAGACTCAGAGAGCTGGACTGATGTCCCCAGGAAGAACCCAGCTAAAGTATTATTTTCAAGTCAAGAGTGGTATGGGTCACATCAATCCACATCAATTCATCTGGACGATATAACAACACTGCTGTGTCTCACTCACATTTAGCTTTAGCTTTATTCACAAATCCTACTATTTGCTGAATGGTCAACACAGTTCACCATGTGAAAACACATGACTACATGCTGTAGAAGTACAGGGACACTTGACACAGCTTCCTGAGATCACCTAGTTGCAATACAGCAGAATTTCAATCTAATGGGCCAGCTCCTGGCCTCCACCAGTCTGTTTGGTGATTCCCTGCGTGTGTTGCTTTGATCAGAAACTCATCAACAGCAGCAAAAGGAAGGGTTTTCCTTTTCACCGCTCGTCAGCTCTCCGTTCAACCGCTGGTTAGAGCGACTGGAATTGCTCTAGAGGCTTATGTCACTATAGTCCAGGATAAAGAATGCAAAATTGCTTCCCCTCTGGGTTGGCTGGGGTGTTTTTTGACAAATGCTATTGTTTTTTTCCCTGTGAATCACAACCCTCCATGAAATGCCTCTAAGCAGTGTTTCAAACCTACAGCACTGCACAGAGTTTGCATAAAGACCATGGGTTCAGCATTTTTGCCAGAGTCCTCACAGGGACCCAAAATGGGGAAAGTCCATCTCAGCCAACTCATACATATTGCTGTTGCTAAATACACACTTTTACACACATCATTATCAGGAAAATAGGACCATTTGGTATGAATGAGTTTACAGTCCATGGAGGCACAGGAGACACTCGAATCCTTAAAGTTTCACGTGTTTAAGGACTTGCTCCTTGAAGCTCTAGAGATATGCATACATTATGCACAGATATTTCTGTTGCCCGGATTGCTTGCAGTTTGATTCATAACATGGATTACTTATATTTCACAAGTCAGAGTCTGCATGCATGAGCTGTGTGAATTCTGCGTCAGTTCCTTTATCTCCTTGGTCTAGTATGGCTGCACTGTGGCAGTCACCAATGACTACGACTAACTGCTAAGGTCAGGCTCCAGCAAGCCAGAACTGGCCCAGCTCTAGTCTAGAACATGACCTGCACAACTGGAAATGCTCACAAAACCAACTAGAGAGCTGTGGGGAAATAGATGTGATCTGCCCAATGAGTAGGGTAAACAGCTGATGGAAAGAGAGACAAAAGACTTATATGCAGAAACCAACAAAACCAGCTCTTGGGTTTTCCCGTGACCACCTGTAACGAGCTGTGCTTGTCCTGTGTGTTTCTCACCGAGAGATCAGTGCTAGACCAAACTCGAGCCTGGAAAGACTCAGATGGGGAGTTCACTGAAGATGGGCTACACCTCTCGAGGAGGAGACAGAGCAGAGAACTGCAGGAGAACTGCACTGCCAGAGAGAAGGGAGCAATTCCCCCAGTCCATCCCAGTCAAGAACCAAAGACTGCACCACAAACAAACATTATGTCCCTCTGACCCAAATCCCACCCTGTAAATTGAAAATCCTTCTACTAGCTCTGTATCACGCTAAAATGCTTTGAAATAAACACTATACATTTCCTGAAAGATAATCTGATTACTTTACTTCTTTGCACTATCTCAACCATTTTTTTTGTTGACATCAGATCCTGAATTACTGGAAATGTACATTAGGTAAGATCAGAAATTGGCTTGCTTTATTTAATAACCTGCAATTTAACTGAAATATTGTAGTATAGAATTGTTAACTCTGGTTAAAGCTCTAGTACTTTATTCAAACTAAACCCAGAAATGTCAGCAGGAATGGTCTGGAAAGTTGTATTAAAATATTGTCACTGGAGCAATCCTGAAAGTAACTGTTACACTGGTTCCCAAAGAACAGCATGTGCAGACAGAATTTTCATCTAGACCTCAAGCCTCAGGCCAATGTTATTCCACTGACTGATTGGGCTAAGCTACAATACCTTAAAAAGCAAAAAGTAAATTATAAAAATAAACAAACCAACCTCCCAAACCCAATTTTTCAGTATTTCAGAAGAACAGTATCAATTATTCTAGATCTCAGCTAGCAGAGCTTCTCAGAGGTTTTAAAGGTAAAAAGTGAAATGCTGTTTTCACATAGCATTGCATTTCAACTGAAGGCACACATTTTCATATTCTATATAAATAAAGATATATTAAGATATTTGAGTCTAAACGCCCATTTTGAAATAAAGCCTGATGATCTTCTTTTGTGTTCTGAAATATGTTCTTTTTAATTCCTAATATGAAAACATACCGAGGTACAGGGTTCCCTTAAAGACAAATAGGGCTTTCTAGATAGTTCAATAATTTAAAAACAATATACAAAATAGAAATAACTTGGAATTCCAGGCAAACCACTGCAGGAGCTGCATTAGGGATAGATGTAACCAGTGGCGATACTTAGCCACAAAAGCCCAAGGGACAGTTTTCACACCACTTCCTTCTCTGTTCCCTCTTCCCTGCAGGAGACTGTATCAGTCAGGATACTGCAGGCAGCTTTTCCAAGTATTATCCATCAACTTCCAGCTGGGAGACTATTTCCACTATTCCATATTCCTCAGAGCGCTGTTACCCTGAGCTGTGTCCCTGTGTCTAATGGCCTGCCCCTTTCCTGAATAAGTCAGCTCCAGCACACCCACTCACCAGGGGGATTATGGACCTCACCACATTCCAAATGCTTGGCACGTGCACTGAGTATTTCAGAATTAACTGCATTGGAAATTCAGGATTCCCGGAACCCAAACTCCATCTGAATTGCAGTTCTCTAAATTTTAGTTTTCTTTTCTCCACTTGAATATTTGGCCCAACACAAGAGGCATCAAAATTCTTATTTAACTGTGGAATAAACAGGACAAACATCACATGGCAAGTCAGAAAATCTGAGCCTCATATTTACTTCAGCAGAATCCAGGAACTGCCGTAAACATCTCTATGGGACAGAAACTGCTTTTGATGAAATAATTTGTCATACAACCTTGAGAGTTGCCACACATGGAGAATAAGAATAAAATGCACTGGCTACAAAACTAAATATACATTTGCTGAAATGTTTCTAATTTGTTGACCACACTTTTAGGAAAATATAATTACACTCTACACATCATCAAGGCAACAATTTTGAAGCAGAAATAATTTCTGTTATGCACTTTTTCATCTTTTTTGATGGTACTGGTTGAATAATTCCACT